TCTTTGAAGCTCCCCCAAATTCTGGAAGCGACTCTTCTTCACAATGCTGTTAAGGCTGCGGTCATCTCTCTTGGTTGTGCAGCGTTTCCTGCCACATTTCCCCCTTCCAACAGACTTTTTGTGGATGTGCTTTGAAACTGCACTCTGTGAACAGCTTGCTCTTTGAGAAATTTCTTTTTGTGTCTTACCCTCCTGATGGAGGGTGTCAATGACGGTCCTCTGGACAGCAGTCAGATCAGCAGTCTTCCCCATACTTGTGATTTAGTTTACTGAACCAAGCTGAGTGTTTTTCAAGGCTCAGGAAACCCTTGCAGGTGTTTCGAGTTAATTAGACGATTCAAGTGATTCGTTGAACACCCTACTAGTATACTTTTTCATGATATTCTAATATTTAGAGATAGGATATTTGAGTTTTCTTAAGCTGTATGCCATAATCAGCAATATTAAAATAATAAAAGGCTTGCAATATTTCAGTTGATTTGTAATGAATCCAGAATGTATGACATTTTTGTTTTTTTAATTGCATTACAGAAAATAAAGAACTTTATCACAATATTCTAATTTTCTGAGACAGTCCTGTATATTGGTCTCCTTTGGTTTAATGCATGTGAAGTCAACAGTTTACTTTGTTCAATCCTACCCAGTTGGGTCACAGTGGTTATACATTTGCATTGAGAGCAATTCATCAACGCCTGAGCTGCGAAAATATGGATTTGAGCCAAAGAAAGGAGAAGGTGGAGCTCTGCATACCAAGCTATTGATAAACTGTGCTTTGTACATTTTTGACCCGCCTGCTCGGCCTGGTGTAAGTTTCTAGTGAGCTCAACACCCCTACAGATCTAGGTCGGCTCACTCATCACTCTCTCAGAGTATTAGAAGTAGTAATAGTGATTGCCAGCATAGTTTATGGGAGATTACGTTGCATTAGATCCTGCAAAAGCAAAAGCATGGCTGCCAAATCAGAGCCAGGAAGATCAATTCTGATGCGTTATTCTGAATCCTCTACATTCAAACACACTTCTACCACTACACCACCTTAGTGAACACATTGCACCTTAGGGCACTTTACCTTCTTAATGGTTAAGATGGGTCAAATAGAGGATTTTCTCCACAGAGAATACAAAAAAAGGCGTGCAAAAATAATCTGACTTTTGCAGGTTTTTTAAGAAATCTGTCAAAATGAAGAGGACGAGTAATATATGACCCTTTTATACCAGAATATCTCATTTCACGGCAATAGACAAAGATCATTTCAGTTTGATAACTGTTGTAATTGTTTTGTAATTTGTCCGAAATATGGGAAAGCTAAAGGAGAAGAGATCCTCCTGATGTTACCTTGACAAAGCCCATCTTCCCCACAGCCTCCTTGTGGTGGTTATCCACCTGACAGACCAGAGCGTTGCAGAGGTGCACAGCGATTCTCTGGATGGACTCGTCCTGCCGGGCTGGCTCCAGGATCTTCAGCAGCAGCTGGTTGACCCGACTGTACTGGAACTCCAGCTCCTCTGGAATACTGAAGTTACACAGAGTCAGGCAGCAGTTCCTCTGGACCTGTGAGGGACAGGGTGGGGAAACAGTGAGGGTTACTCATCCATCTGAGAACTCTGGAGAGCAACATAAGGTAGTCAGAAAAGATGACCAGATTTCATCTGATATCTCTATGAAAGTGCTTTCATTCTGCTGCATATAATGAAAACGTGTCTGTCCAATATGGCAACAATTCAATATTTTGACCTATTGGACACTTTTGTGAAATTGTCAACATTTGGAAAAATCTTTTTTTTGGTTTGGGGCCGAAAAGGTTAAATCCAAGTGGATGTTTAACATCCATAGAACAAGCAATTCCCTCCTAAATGTTCTGAGATATCATGTTTTCATGTGAATGAGCATGGCATAGTTTTAATACTTGTTACACACTTTGTTCATTGCTCCATACTTCGGATCAAAAGGTGTTGTAGTATCTAAATATCATATATGAAATTCACCTTTAGAAAATGTATTTCAATTTGCCAGATAAACTTTAGGTTGGGCTGATTTTATGGGAGACGGGGCAGACTTACGGTGACCTCCTGGTACTGCTCCATTCCGTTCAGCACCACCTGGATGACCTCTCTGCGCAGCCTCACACTCTGGTCACTGCGGTACTCCGTGTTGGTCAGGTAGAACAGAGCGGCACTGCCCGTCACCTGGATGCTCTTATCGTATTTGTGGCACTTCAACGCGGCTATGACCAGCTAAAAGGACAGCACGTTTAGAGAAGAGATTTAAGAGTGAGTGTTGGACAAGCATAACATTTTTATTTTTAAATAATCCCAATTTGGGATCAATAAATTATATCTTATGTTAACATGCAAGGTCATGGAACAAATATTTCCTTTGAAGTCACTGGTGTCCCATCCTTCAAAGAAAAAGGCAACCTTTCTGTATCTTACCTGCAGAGCTCGGAGCAATTGGCTGCAGTGCTGTATCCTGGCGATGTCAAACAGCTGATTGATGGCTCTGTGGGCCAGCTCAGGACGAAACTCTGTGTACGCCTCTATGGCATTCAGAACCTGCTCTTCATTCTTTGATCCGGTCACCTGGGAAAGGGCAGCAACACACAGATGTTTACCACACAGCAAGCCGGTTTCTAAGCATAATTAGTATGTGCTCATGACCTGTTTAGAAGATTTCACTTTATGAATTTGTTCCCACATTTACAAGCACACAGAAAAACAGCAACCCCAAAAACAATGACAAAAAGAAGAAAAAGGTACATCACTGCTAAATGAGATCATTAACTACCAAAGACATATAGTACTTTGTGACATGATAGCACTTAAAGCAAAGTACAGTAAAGATGTACTTCTTTATCTTACTGTACTTCTTATAATAAAAAATATAGAAAAATGTCAGTCGATTAAAATATTTAATCGCATGGTTGTCCATAGTTAATCGCACATTTTTTAACTCTTCTAAATGTTCCTTAGAGGGATATTTTTCAAGTTTTGAATACTCTTATCAACATATGAGTGGTCCAATATGCTTCATGCAAATGTTTGTTTATTATCATTTGAACAATGACAAATATTCTCATGAATATTAAAAACAACACCCTCTGAACATTACAAATATTCGCCTAAATTCAATCTGGAACCTCTCTCATACAATACAAAGTGTGTGTGTGTGTGTGTGTGTGTGTGTGTGTGTGTGTGTGTGTGTGTGTGTGTGTGTGTGTGTGTGTGTGTGTGTGTGTGTGTGTGTGTGTGCGTGCGTGCAGTTGTCAGCAAAATGCCGCTCCCCTGTTTTCATAACTGTGAAAGCATGCGACTTCATTTCCCACTGTGGGTCAAAACAATGCGCTGTGACCCCGAGGTAACTCATTACTGAGTGAAGTCCAATAGTCTCCGGTGAGTCTTTCTTAAATCCTC